TATAGGACCAGTGGTGTGAGTGGCAAAACAGGGAGGGTAAAGGGAGAATGGGTAGGAAAGAGGGAACCGACTACATGGAACTGTGTGTGACCTCCTCCCTGGGGGACAGACAACCGAAAAGTGGATGAAGGGAGACGTTGGACAGGGCAAGATATGACAAAATACCAATTTATAAACTATCAAGGGCTCATGTGGGAGGTGGGAGCGGGGAGGGAGGGGAAAAATGAGGACCTAATGTCGGGGGTTTAAATGGAGAGAAAATGTTTTGAGAAATGATGTACAAATACGCTTTACACAATTGATGTGTGTATGGATTGGGATAACAGTTGTATGAGCCCCTAATAAAATGTAAAAATAATAATAATAATAATAATAATAAAGATACCAACGTACTATTTTCAAAAAAAAAAAAAAAGAAAATCAAGTTACGAACGGGGGACAGGAGCATCTACATTTTAGAGGTACTGGTATTTCTGTTGATGAATCTCATGTGTAAATGGAGAGGAGCAACCTCACACCCGGAAAGGATGCTAAACAACAATCGTAAGATATTCACCTTCATGAAATGATCACTGAAGATAAGGGTACTACAGTAAAGTGTGGTGAAGAAAGCAGATGGTGCCTGGCTATCAGCTTGAATACGGTCTGGAGTCTGGGGTCTTAACGGCTTGTATTCAAACAAGCAGCCATCTCAAGTGAGTTGTCAACTAAGCCCACATGGAAGAAGCACCCCACCTGTGTGATCAAAAGATGACAAAAACAAAATCCAAATATCTCAAAGAGAAAAGTATCAGAGCTTAAATTGTAAACACTCAATTTGTAGAAAAGGCTATGGAGGATAGTTAATCCAAAATCCATCTGCAGAGTATCTAGTCAGATTAAGCCTCTGACAGATCCCCTCTAGCCACAGGCAAGTACGTTGAACAGCTTTACTATCAGACAGAGATGGTTGTAGATTTTATTATAGTGGATCGAATCATGGCATAATATGATATTGGTCAACTGACATCCCTCTTAACCCAATCTGAATTTGTTCTAGGCTCAAGTATTTCTCGTTTGTTCCCCAACAGAAATTTCTTCTCTGGCTTTTAAAATATGGATGGTGGTCTTTTCTTTCTCTTTATTTGTATTTTTATCTTAATTCTTCTTGCTGCTTTGTTTTGTTTTATTTCTTTATTGTTTCTGTTGGGTTTCCTAGTTTGTGAAGCAAAGAAGGAGTTGATGCATAGAGACAATAACAGATGCAACTGGAGCAAACAATTATTGTGGGAAGAGGGAGGGAACACTAGAATTGATAGTGACGATATATATATACAACTCTTTTTAAAGCGATTTAACCATGGAAGTGTATGATATGCGAATACTATATCAAGAAAACTACTTTAAAAAAAAGAAATCAAACTTGACCAATGGTTACCATGGGTGAAGGAGAAAGAGTTGTTGTTTAGGGGGAATTAAATTTATATTAATAATGGTGAAATAATTTGGAAAAGGGTATCAATAATGGTTGTACAACATGAATAGTCTAATCAATGGCCCTGTGTTGTGCATGTAGAAGTTGTGGAATTAGAGAATGTTTTGTTGTGTATATTTTTGCCACAATTAGAAAAAATTACATGAATAACAATGAGCACAGGAAGAAGAAAATGTTCTAGAATTGACTGGTGATAATTGCACAATTATTCTTGATATGACTGAATTAGTGAATTGTAAGGCATGTGGATAAAGCACTAATAAAAATGTTTAAAAGAAAAGAAATATGCTTCATGCAATAAAGCCTGGTAATCTACTTCCAAAAAAAACCAAACCAGCCATTGGAAACCCAGTTCTAATCTGACACTCATGGGGTCATCATGAGTTGCAATCAACTAAACAGCAGCTGGTAGTGCCTTGTGTCTGATACCCTTACAAGGACCCAGTAGGGCTATGGAAAGAGTTCATGAAAAAAAATCCATTATGTTTTAGTTTCATGTTTCCATGAACTTTTTAAAGTCCCTTCATCTATAAAACATCTAGAATGGGCAAATGCATAGAGACAGGCGTTTATTAGTCATACCATTAGATGAGATGAGAGAAGGAATAAATAGTTATTGCTGTAAAAGAAGTACATCGTTTCTATTAGGGGTGATGAAAACTTTTGAAATAGGTGGTGGCAACAGGTGCACAACATGGTAAATGTAATTAATGTAACTGACTTGTATTCTTAAAAATGTTTGAAATGAAAGAATTAATAAATTTTAAAAATCTTAAAAATGGCAACATTTTGTTATATATATTTTACTATAAGTAATACTATGATAGATGGAGAAAAGACTGAAGTTGTCTAGGAATTCATTTTACCTGCATCCACAATCAATGTCCAAGGAAGAAGCAGTCAACAAATTCAAACCATGCCTTACATTAGGCAAATCTGCTGCAGAAGACCTCTTTAAAGGACAAAGATGCCACTCGGAGGGCTAAAGTGTGCCTGACCCAAGCCATCGTATTTTCACCTTTGTGTTATGGTGTTGGCAAAGAAGACCAAATATATCATGAACTTCCATAAGTACAAACAAAGCTGTGTTAGGAGAAGTACAAATGGAATGTTCCTTAATAGTGAGGGTGGTACTTCATCTCATGTACTTTGGACGTGTTTTAGAAGAAACCAGTCCCTGAAGAACATCATGCTTGGTAAAGCGTGAGATAGTTTATTGTGTTATTTACTGGAATTAACTGAAGGGCAGAGAGATAAATGGCTCGGTGAGCCTTGCCTTTCTTTTTTCTCGCTCTTTGATCATCGGACCAGTGTGTGGCTGCCTTGCTTGTTCTGTGCCTCAATTTACAAGCTACATTACCTGTGGGACGCCTAGCCTGTAAACTGTGTTGCTGTAAGTTGAGGTCCCTTTAAGACATCTCTGGAGCTGGGGACTGGCGGTTGGTGACCTGGCTGACAGTTGGTGACCTGTCTTATGATTGGCTGCTGTGCTGAGATAGCCTAGCTCGCTCTATATATAGAGGAAGACGGGCAGCAGACTAGACTTGAAGGACTGCTAGTGTCTCACAACTCTCTCTCACAGGAGTGAGTTGCACTGAGCCATTTGTACTGCTTCATAATTCAACTGTTCATTTCTTGTATTATATATCTATCTGTATATAATTTAACAGTTCATTTCTTGTGTTTATATATCTAATTATCCTTATAAATAAATATATTACATTATCAGCAATTTGGTTTTATCTCTCTAGAGAACCCTGTCTAACACAGAGGGTCAGCAAAAAGGGGGAAGCCTGTGGTAGTCACATAAATTTCAAGGCAACTTGAAGGTATAGAATAGTGTAGGGGAATTATTCAACCTGTTAATTCTGGTCGCAGCCTGCTCGTGCCTCCTTATGGGGGTGGTGGTCTCATAAGGAGGGCCCTGGGAACTTCCCCCTCTCTCTGCCTTCACCTTCATGCCAATGAGCCACTCTGGGACGTGCAAAAGCTGTGATGCTTCCACCACCACTGGAGCTACACTTTGCACCCACTGGCCAGGGATATTCCTGCATTTGGCATCATTACAGGTAGCTGCGTGAGTCTGAAGAGGGACTTATGGACTAGTATCAGATTTACGGACTTGGGTTGGACTGGGCTGGGATGTTTTATTGATGCATAATTACCTCTTGATATAAAGCTCTTTCTTACATATACATGACTGTCACTGGATTTGTTTCTCTAGTCAAACCAGCCTAACACAAAGCCCTTTAATGAGAGGGACTGACACAGCGGTTGCAACAATAGGCTCAAACATAGCAGTGATTGTGAGAATCACTGCTATGGGACTAGGTAGTGTTTCCTTATATTGTATATAGGAACTTATTCAGCAGCACCTGACAATCACCATTCATAATAGCATTCACAAAACAGAAGAAGAAAAGCTGCTTCACTGGGTTGTATAAGGATTAAATGGGAATCTGATCCTCAGCAAACCAACCCCCATCTCCCCAGACCTTTACCAGTGAGCAAAGACACCAGAGTAACAAGCACAAGAAGTCCATGTGCAAGTCTGGCCCCAAAGCCCCATCCCAAGACCAGGAAGATTTTCTGCTAAGCCAGTAAGCCAGGTGGCTCCTGTCCTCAGGTGTCCTTCCTTTTTATCCCATTGACTCTGTCAGACACGTTGTAGAATGGACACTGCAACAACTAGGGCTGTGGTTTTTCTGTGTGGTGGTGGGAAAGGGGAAAAAAATCTGGTACCTGCAATGAAGATCCACGGGACTGGGTAGGCTTTATCCAAACTGAGATTTGCCCAACCTTACTCCGTTTGGAAGGCACTCTCAGTCACTGTCAAGGAGTGCCCTCTGCTTTAGGAGCATTTGTGATCCCCAATGCTGAGGGAAAATAGGCCTAGTGGTGCAGCGAGTTAAGCTTTTGGCTGTTAACAGAAAAGTTGCCAATTCAAACCCACCAGAAAAGATGAGATTCTGCTTATGTAAGAATCGACAGGCACAGGATGTCCAATCTGATTTGCTGAGAGAACAGATGCTTCTCCCCCATTCCCAGCCCAGCCATTTCAAGATGACTGCATTTTTTCTATAGAGACCCCAGCATGTTTTACTTCATATTTAGAGGTTTGGGGAAGATTCCCAAAGTCAGCGTGGATTTTCTACGGGCGAGTTTTCTCGGAGTCCTCACTGGTATAAAGTCTGGACCCGGGTTTGAGGGCTGGAGGATTTGGTTCAGCCCTTGGGCCCCAGTCCCGGGTCTCCTTGGCACGCTTCCCTGACCCTGTCCTCTCAGTACCATGGTCTCCAGACTGTCCAGAACCCTGATGTCCGTTCTTCCAGCCCCAGGCCCGGGCCCCAGCACTCTGTCCCCCGTGCCGTCCTGGCTTGTGCCTGACTCCAACCTGCTAACCTCGGTCCCCTACCCGAACCCGTCAGGCCCAGCACCCCAGCCCCTGCCCCAATTCCCAGGGTCGAGCGTTCAGGTCCCTCGCAAGCTGCCACCCCGGCACGGGTCCCCTTCCCGGGTAGCTAACCTGCGTAAAAGGCCGAGACGGCGATGGGCGCGGCGAGCACCTGGTCACAAAGCACCTTGGCCAGGATGGCCCTGGGCGCGCGGCCGGGCAGCGCGCGCTCTAGCAAGCGGAGCCACACGTAGCTGAAGTTGGCGTGAAAGGCGATGACCACCGTGGCCACGCGCCGCGTCTGGCGCCAGTCGGTCGGGCCGCCCTTGAGCCGCTGCTGCAGCGCGTCCCCAGCCGAGAACAGGGAAGCATAGACCGCCACGTTCGTGGGCCACGGGTAGCGTCGGGCTGCGCGCGGCAGCACCCGCCACCAGCCCGCCATGCCAGTGTGCTGGGGGTGCCCGCGAGCCGGGCAGCCGACGAAAACGCCACCGGCGTCCCGGGCCACGCCCAGAGGCCGCCCCCGCGTCCTCCTAGCCCCTCCCCCGCTGTCCCGGGGCCACCTGCACCTGTCTTCTCCCCTCGCCCAGGGGTGATTGGGCGTCCATCCCAGTGTCCAATCTGGCGGCCCCTGCTCCTGCGCTGGTTAAATGCGTAATTCCAGTTATGGGAAATGTTCCAACCAGACGGATCGACGGAGACAAAGGGTAGACTGGTAGTTGCCAGGAGCTGGGGGAAAGGGAGAATGAGGAGAGGCTGCTAATGGGTGCAGGTTCATGTTCAGAATGAGGAATCAGATATTGTTGATGGTACGCAACCTTGTGAATATACCCACATGCCACTGAATTCTACAATTTCAAAATGGTGAATTTTATGATATGACTTACAGCTCATGTTTTTTAAAGAGCAACAACAACAAAAGGATGCCAAAACTCAATGACCAAAATAATAGTATGTTTTAAATGTTTACATGGAAGAAATTCACACGTTCACCATAATAAGACAGTGGATGTGTAACTTCGTTTGCAGACAACATCAGAAGTTAGATTTTGAGGTCTTTCATGAATGTGAAGGGATTCCTAACATGCCCCCTACTTTCTACCCTGCTTAGGTTAGGCCTCAGTGAATATTGTTCTTAGTGTAGGGGAAATAAGACTCCACACTCAAATGTATATAACACAAACCAAAGTCATTGCCATCAAATTCATTCTGACTCATAGTGTCCCTGTAGAACAGGCTAGAACTGCTCCTGAGGGTTTCTGAGGCTGTAACTCTTTATGGGAGTTGAAAACCTTATCTTTCTCCCTCAGAACAACTGGTGGTTAGCAGTCTGAATCATAACCCACTACACCACCAATATATTATATAGAGATCCCTTTATTAAGTCTTCAATTTAACAAATACAAATCATCCAGATGAGGAAGACCATCAACATGAGCCATAATGTGCCCAAAGATTGTGCTGTTAATTATAGGAAAACACAGGAAATCTCGCAGAATCGTGATTGGTGGTAAATCAAACCAGTTCATTACTGTGTAAGCCAGGACTATCAGAGCAGTAAATGGACTATGATTGGGATACATAC